AGACTGCCAGGTCCTTCTTCCTAGTCTGTCTTAGTCTGGAAGCTCAGCTGAAACCTGTCCACCATGGGTGACCCTGCTGGTATTTGAATACCGGTGGCATATTCCCAGCATCACAGCAACATGCAAGCCCTCACAGTACGACAAACTGATAGGCGTGTAGGGGGTAATTATAATAGTGAACATTTACTGAGTGCTTCTATTACCTAATTTAATGGAACTGCAAAATTCATACAAATCTGAACACTATTTCCTTTTCCTAAATCACTGTCATTTCACTTCTAAAAAAAAGTTCACAGCCATTGAGGTTTGTGAATATCTTCACAAATTTGTAAACTTTGACTGTGATCCCTTAAGGAAATAGTTGGGGTAAGTCACCACTGTCCTTCTAGCCCTCCAGCCCAGAGCTTGCCAGTCTGGGTGCTGGGGGAAGTATGCTCTGGATGGCTTCCAGGTGTGTTCAGATATTATTTCCTCAACACTGGGGGTGATCAAATGGAACTTGGGTAGCTCCTCTCTTCTCCTCACTGTGCTGTATGAATATTTGTCATTTTCCAGGGTGTCATGTATGTAAATGAAAAAGAATTGGGACCCTCTGCTCTAGACCAGTGATTCTAAAGTGGGGTGGATGCACCCCATTGGGTAGGCAAGAAAATATTGGAATTTCTTTGTTTTATATATTTTTTTATTATTTATTATTCCATTTATTTATTATTATAAAGTGGGCAGCTTTAAACAACAGAAATGTATTCTCGCAGTCCTGGAGCTAGTAGTCCAAATTCAAGGTGTTGGCAGGATCATGTGCTCTCTGAGGCTCTAGAGGGGGAAGTTCCTTCCTTGTCTCTCCCAGGTTCTGGCAGCCCCAGACGTTCCTCGGCTTATAGATGTGTCCTCACATAGCCATCCTTCCTCTGTCTATCTCTCTGTGTCTCTTCCCTTCTTTTATAAGGACACCATTTAGATGGGATTAGGAATCACCCTACTCTAGTATGGCCTCCTGTTAACTGACAACATCTTCAAAGACTTATTTCTAAACCAGGTCATGTTCATAGGTACCAGGGGTTAGGACTTCAGCGTATCTTTAGGGGGACACAATTTGATCCATAACAAGCAGCAAGATCTAACTTCACGCATACAATATGATTGCAGGTATGTAAAACTAGTAACCAAAAATTGTGCCTAGAATGAAGACTAGAAAGCAATACATCAAAATAATACAGTGATTTCCATTGGATAGTAGATTGTATAATTTTACTGTGGAATGTTATTGGATGATAGTGTTGGCTGCTAAAAGACACTTCTCATAATTAAAACATAATAATGATTTATTGTAGTCTTATTCTTGCAGACATGACCAACACTGGGTATGTGCACACCTAAATGTTGTGAATGTTGCCAACCATTTGAGAAGAACCGGTTATTTTGGGTTTAGCATGTTGACCTGAGAATTTATGGTTCAGGGTCTGTTGCTAAAATGACTTTGTTAAAAGTCAAAATTCCACAGGACAATTTAACAATTTCTTTGAATTCCATTTTTTTGTTTGTTTCCACCTATGGATTTTTGTGAGAGGAAAAAAAAAAAAAAAACCCTGAAATTTAAAATTGAAAAAAATCTCTTTGCAGGTGTTCCCTTGCCTAAAGAGGACGACATTTCTGCCCCTTTGATCTCCAGCTCACCAGTGAAGGAAGGCCGGGAGTATGACGATCCCCCAAGTGAAGAGGAAGATAAAATAAAAGAAGAGCCCTTAACCATCTCTGAATTGGCATACAACCCAAGTGCCAGCCTGCTTCCCACCCCAGTCGATAATGATGAGATTGACATGCTCTTTGACTGTCCATCTAGGCTGGAGTTAGAAAGAGAAGACACAGATTCATTTGAGGAACTGGAAGCTGACGAAAACGCCTTTTTGATTGCAGAGGAAGAAGAGCTGAAGGAGGCTCGGCAAGCGTTGTCGTGGAGCTATGACATTCTGACCAGCCATATCCGGGTGAACCCCCTGGTCAAGAGTTTTTCCAGGCTCCTTGTGGTGGGCCTGGGACTGCTGCTCTTTGTATTTCCCCTGCTCCTCCTCCTTTTGGAGTCAGGTATTGATCTCTCCTTCTTATGTGAAATCCGCCAGACGCCAGAGTTTGAGCAGTTTCATTATGAATACTACTGTCCTCTCAAGGAGTGGGTGGCCGGGAAAGTGAACCTCATTCTCTACATGCTGGGTTGCTCATAAAGTTCGTGTCTCCTCTGACTAAGGGCTATATTCAATACTAGTGATTTTCTTCCCCAAAAATACCTGGTCTCGAAATGGTCCTGGGGCCATCAACAGGTATTCCTTATTCATAACAGATTACGCAAACCCTTAAGTTAGATTTCCAGAACTCACCGCACTTAAATAAGTTTCAATCAAATACAGTTATTTTAGTTACAGGTCAGGAAGATGGCCTTGAAATAACCAAAAAATGTTTATTTTTTATTATAGTGTAGTCTTACTGTTTATCTATTATATCATAATACATAATACATTGGGCTGAATTAGATTGTCCTTTAAAAAAAAAAGTTGGCACCATTACAAGCTCTAAGGTTTAGAATCAGAATTTTAGTAAAAACCCAAGAGAGAGTTTTTGAATATAATCCTTAGTGAAAACAATGTCCTCTAACCAATGCCTATACAATGAAATTTATGCTGGGTTTTGTTTTTGTTTTTTTAAAAATATTTTTATGTGTTCAAAATATTTTGGTAAATTTTTAGCAAAAAAAAAAAGAAGCCTCCTGGAGTTATTTAAGTGTACAGATTGTAAGATTAATACACAAGGGCATGTTGAGAATTTTTTAATTCATTTTTTAGAATATTTTTGGCTGAAAACCCCACAATTTGTTATACCTGCATGTGAGATAGTTGACGATTAAAAGATGCTGCAGTAAGTAAGCGCCTGAAAGAGACAGTGGATCTGGAGGACGTAGAAAAGCGCATCGAGTGGATGCAGGGTGGTCCATTTGTCAAAGGGTTTGGACAAATGACTTATTACTTTCGTTTGTATTCTGTTCACATGTTTTGGCTGAGGAAGCAGAAAGTTTTAAAAGGAAAGTGAAACTTTAAAGGAAAAAAAAAGGTAAAAGATATGCCAGTTAATTGCATATGATTGTACATTAACCCAAGAATGGAAGTAAATAGGAATTGAACAAATGGAAAGTAGCAGAAAAAGAATTTCTAGTGGTATTAGGAGACAAGTGGGGGTGGGCAGGCGATCTGTTTGGTAAACGTGGTGGTGATACAAACTATTTGACGATGTAAGGCACAATGCACCCATTGTCAGAGTGGACACAAACATGTTTACATGGATCTGAATAAAAGTGGAGAATCTTGAAGGTAAAGTTTTTGGTCCCTCATGCCATTCATTGTGATTCTGTGGGAAAAACTTCAAAGAATTGTGTGTCTGTGACTCTGTGTGTGTGCGTGTGTGTGTGTGTGTGTGAAAGAGAGAGAATGGCTTTTTGATCAATGCTGGTAGTCTTCCTTTGCGGGGATCATGATAATCCTTTCCTTTACCAGTTTCCTTGAGACCTTAACTCATTCATCATTGGGGTTGCCACTGAGAAAGTGAAGGGGAATCAGCAGCTAATGTACCACTTCAGCTTGGGTGAAATAGTGAAATCAGGACCTAACAAGACATGGAGTGGACAAATGCTATAGTACCTTCCTTCATAATATTACATCCGTGGGAACAACAGTCTGATGCCTTCCCATGCAGAGTACTTACCAATACTGTGGTGCACATAAGGAAGAAAAGAGAATGTAGTTTAGAGCATGGAGCATAGAATTTTTCCCAGGGATTGACAACATTCCATTGCCTTTATGTACAAAGAAATTGGGTCTCCTGTAATCTCTCCCTAACTCTAAGGACACTCTAACCCTATCATTAGCATTATTTCCAAATTGGGCATTCCAGTCCTACTCATTCAGTGGAGCTCTGCGGGCTTTATTAGACGTTTAATTTTGAAAATAAGTTTTGAAAATCAGCTCGTGATGACTTCAGTTGAGCAAACTGTAATATAAGTTTGCAGAGTGTTCTTTTGCATGTGTTTTCAGTGCTTTGCTTTTTAAATAAAGAATGTTTAAGACCTAAAATTTGATACCAGTATTGAAACATATTTTCTATGGTTGGTGCTCTCAACAATTTATTTTAGAAGTTTGAAAATGGGCAGCTTTGAAGTTTCTGTTTTTTCCCTTTATTCTCATACGACTTCTAAGGCATACTTTCTGACATAAGGGTATTCCAGTATACTCTGCACAGAAACAGACCCCCTTCTAATCATGCTTCATATCATTTTCTTTGAAGTTCTAGCCATGACAAATCATCTAGCCCTCGTCCTTTTAAATAATATTAAATAATATTTTTTAAGTTATGGAAATAATACATTGCCCATTGTAAAATGTTTGCATAATACTGACAGGATAAATACCACATGTAATCCAACCACGCAGATTTATATTAGGGAGTAATAAATACCTTATTTCAACACTTCCTGCTAACATTTTATTTTTCCTTAGGCAAAAACTTCACAGTTGAATAGAAATGTTTTTAAGTGAAGGAGTAAACAGGATAGGGTCTGCTTCATTGAAACAATAGCCGCCTAAAGTAAAACTGGGTGTCCGAAATCTCCTTTGGTCTGCATAGAATCAGAGCCTTTTAGAACATCCATTTAAGTTTTGTTAGAAGACAGCCACCAGTTGCCTGAATCAAATGAGGAAAAGACTGTTTCCAAAGATGGACAGTATATAATATAGTGAGATACAGAGTTCAAAGCAAGTGTGTGAGTATATGTATATCCCATATTGTTGCTATATGTGTGTTTATATATGAATCTGTGTATACGTGTGTATTTGTGTACACACAACTGATATGCCCCTCATATACATTGTGGTGTTTATTTTACCCTAGTTGAAGAATTTGTGATATATTCTTGGTCTCATTTCCCTCTCAGATATCATGGTGGGTACAATCCACAGCCTCAAAGGTTTAAATTTTCCATGAAAACCACTGTGTGTACATTTGTGGATATATATACACACATATATGGCAAATACATATGCACACACAGTCTTGTCTTCAGTGCTAATGCAAGTTGGATCATGAAAAAAAAATGTAGGTAAAGTATCGTGTATTCCTGTCTGTGCTTGGGACATATTGTAAAATGTTATGTATTTGGAATATATCTTGTGGTTTGTCTAGTATTTATAAATACAACTCTGGGAAGAATTCAAAATGAGTTGATTTCATTGAAATACTAGAGATATGGGGGCCATGTGACCTGTGATTGGAGCCTTATCTTTGTATAGTGAAATTTGCATTTCTATGTCAACATCCAGATTGTTTTATATGTTAATATGGTGGCAGGAATCCCTAATAAAAACGCTCTGGGGAAAATGTTTCTGCAATCATTTAGTTTTATTTGAAATAAAGTTGCATAGTCAGCCTGTGGGAAACTACAGAAAGGTACCCTCTAGGACCGTGAAATGAGGTCACCCTTTAATGGTGATAGCATGAAAAAAATCACAGGTAATGGATGAGATTAACCCTCTGCAGGGGTCACCCAGGCTGAAAGCAGGAATATTAGCACTGGCAATGCACTCAAATATAAAAGAAAGCTATGATCTAATTAATGTTATTAAGATAACTAGAGAAATAGGAATAGAAAAAATAGGGTGTTCTGCATAACATGGAGGAGGTAGGATTTCAGAGCATGACCCATTGCTGTCGAGTCAATTCCGACTCATAGTGGCCCTGTAGGACAGAGTAGAACTGCCCCATAGAGTTTCCAAGGAGCGCCTGGTGGATTCGAACTGCTGAATTTTTGGTTAGCAGCCGTAACTCTTAACTACTACACCACCAGGGTTTCAGAGTGCTAGATAGTAGTATTTCAGCACCACCTGCGAGCAAAGGATGTCTTCCTGTGCTCCAGAGAGCTGCATTAGACTCTTAACTCTGCGATACCCTTCCCCCACCAAAAAAAACCAAACCCATTGCCTTTGAGTCCATTCTAACTCATAGTGACCCTACAGAACGGAGTTCTAACTCATAGTGACCCTACAGAACGGAGTAGAACTGCCCCATAGGGTTTCCAAGGAGTGGCTGGTGGATTTGAACTGCCAACCTTTTGGTTAGCTGCCGAACACTTAACCACTGCACCAGCAGGGCTCACTTGCTATTAAACCTCTGCATCATCTGTCCATGGGCCCTGGAGGAATTCCACGATTCCACTTCTATCCTTTCCTCCACACAGTGTGGCCTGACAGGTTTGCAACAAGCAGAGCAAACAACCCCACACTTGACAGTTAAAAGGTATTACTTTGAATGAAACAAAAGAAGTGCAGTTACAATAGGAATACCATAGGTGCCAAGCAGAGTTGGACCCTACTTGTAGTGGCCTCTTAAGTCTGTCAAGTTCTTGCTCAGCAGGACCAGTCTCTAGAGTACAGGCAAGAAAAGAAATTCAAGGGTTAATGCCCAGGTGGCGAGATGGCTCATGGGTCTAGAGTCCTGGCTCCAGCAGCCTTAGCCGGCACCTTTGTTCGGGATAATGTCTGCAGATTCTGAAGGCTCTCCCACAAAATAGCCCTTGATCACTTATTCATTGAGCAGTTTGGCTGCCTGACCCAATCTTGCCTGTTAGGGAAAACGCTTCTCTTTTATTCTTACATTCTTTGCAGAGCCAAATAGAGGATGGATCTTCTACCACCATTCCCAGCTCAGAGGCAGAGTAGTAGGGAGAGGCTTCCGTCTTGGGGGGTGACTTCTGGGATGGTGGCAATGGATGGGACTCGAGACTCCTTGGGTCTTCTTTCTCAACAGGGGGAGATAATGTGCTAAAGGTCCCTGCTTACTTGTCCTCCTGCTTCTCTCTCTCTCTCTCTCTCTCTCTCTTTCTCTTGGACCTGCTTTTGGACTTCCAGTCTCCATGCCGTAAACAGACCCAGCGGGATCTGCCATTGGTGGGCCCAGACAGGACCGGCTCTCCACGTTCCAGCCTCTGTCTGTGACTGGGTGGGTAAGTTCCATGAGCCCCACTCAGTGGGCTCAGCTGTCGTCACTTCAGAGAAGAAGAAGGAAACCACACTTAAGCCGCAGAGCCCAGCTGTGCTCTCCAATCCATTAATAAAGCCGATTTTCATCCTCTTCTGGCCTTCGTGTCTGTTATCTATTGGGAACTGGATGAGGGGAGGCAGGATGGGTGAATATTTAGGATTTCTGTGTCCTCCAATATTATAAGCAAAGTAGGAGTGGTGAAGGCTACTACTGGCTGGACCTCAGGCTTCAGAGGATGTCTGCCCCTGACCTTGACCCTGACAGGCCTCACAAATGGGTGAGGAAACTTAGAAGTTGTTAGTGAAGAACAGAGGGATGGTTGGAATAGCCCATCCCTATTCTTTGCCTTTTACTGATTCTTACCCCAAATGTCTCTTTGGAAAGACAACGATAGCCATTTTCCTGGTTTCAAAGGACTACTCTTAGTAGAACAAAGGATATGATCTCTGTTGTGATCCTTCACTTGCCACTGGATATCAACACCTACAGTAGCTTGAAGCCACCAGTTGAGGATGTCAGAGCCACCAGCAACTTGGATCCTTGGATGACTGTGTGGAGCAGAGTACCACATGTCCACCCCAAACTGTTACTTGAGCAAAAACCCTTCCCTGGGCAAATTCAACACTCCTTCTTCCTCCCCTTCTTGCTATGTTGGCTAGCTCACCCAAGGGCGGGAAGTACAGCACAAAGCAGGTGTTGGAGATGCCCAGCAGTGGAGTCTCCAGGGCGTTCTATGGGAGAACCACTGCACAAGAGGGGAGGAGATGGCCTGCTGTGCATGAGTGCACCAGACCTGGGTCAGGGCCTGCTTTTTGGTGCTAATAGTTCTTATCACTCTTG